TGGATAGTCGTCTAGTTAATCAGTTATTATTTTGAATTGAATTCCAGTAACAATTGATTCTATCGTTAACTTCCACACAAGACGTTTCCAAATTACTTTTATCAGCTGTATAATATTATTAACAAGCCAATAAGCAAATTCTCAGTATTCCAGATGCATAGTTCTTGTGTATGTACATATAAATATAAGATTTGAAGAGGAAATCATAGGAAAGAATATTCTTTTTCCTTCAAATAGGCATAAAATCTGCTCTGAAAAGTATTCTTGATATCAATACAAACTGGTACGGCTTTGCTAATAAATATCCGAAATTGATAGAGAACAAAAAAACAATGTCATTCACAGTCATAAAGAAACCCAATTCATATCACCTTATTACTTAGAGGTGATGATGCATTCGGTGGAGTGATTTGAAGACTGCGAATATCTGTCGGAGGAACCTATTACGCTCTACCTAACTAGTTGGAGGATGAAGAAAAGAAAATTCTGGAAATTTCTACAGTGTAGTATACTTTAGTTGTCTCTTTCACCTACCTAGACAGCATCGTTCCGGTGCCGGTGGCTGCACAGATGAGGATGTCAAAGACAGAATCAGTAAGACGGCAGAACAGGCCTTCATGCATTAATCTGAAATAATCAGTGTGCAGATCTACCGCTCTGCTTTGCACTGCACTGCAATGCACTACACTCAGCATAAAGTGTGAACAAAATCCACATTTTCAACACTCACTCACTCACTCACTCAGCCAGTCAGCCAGTCAGTCAAGTCAGTCAGTCAGTCAGTCAATGCTTCTATGTGATGATTGAGAGAGTTGGCATGTAACGCGGAATGCACTTCCAACAAACTGCAGACATACATCATATCAACCACTGTTGCCCACGCTCACTCGATTCTGAAGATGGAGATCAGATAAGATGAGATGAGATGAGATGACCATAAAAATAAGAAGAAGCAGTAAGGTACTCTGACTGACTTGTAATGAAGCAACCGAGAACCCATAACCGGAGAAATATGGAGAGGAAGGAGGTGAAGATGGATTCGATTGGATTGGATTGGACATACACTGAGCAGAGTGTTTTGGGACATCATGCGTGAGGCCAGATCAGGTGGTCGAGTGGAAGCGAAATGGGAAACGACTAGTTGGTTGTTGGATGTGAGGGTAACATGGAGGGGATGATGTGAGAAGAAATGAAAGGTTGTGGGCAGTGGTGGAGCCAGGTTAGAAAGACTTTGGAGAAGAGAGTAGAATGGCAACGTGCTACTGAAGCTTTTTGTTCCACTAGGAACCTAAGGGACAAATAAGGATATTATGATAGATGCTATGCACGACATTGTATTATCATTATATTTGTCACTGGATTGTGAAATAAAAAGTGCTGGCTAATGGAGAAGCCTATGGTGTAGAAGTTTTCAGACTGAATCTGCGTGTAGAAGAAAATGATACTGATTGTAGTACAGCTAAATCTTATTTGTTCTTCTCTACATACTTCATTTACATTATTACTGCATTTTTTCCTACGTCTTTTCTCATTCTTAAGGCGTCTACATGGTTACGAAAGCTCCTTAATTTCTTTTCTGAACTTTGAGGTTTACTGGGATTCATTTGTTTATTTATGTTGGTATTCATCATGGACTGACCAGGAGCACTGTATGACTGTTTCCTCCCAGTATGGTACGTCTTAGCAGTAAGCACACATGACCCAACCCCTTCCCTTCACCGATCTCATCCACAACCATCAGGTTCCACTGTGTTGAGTTTCAACCAACTAGCCAACCAAATCGGATGTCAGCACAGTAACTAAACTACGGTGGGGATTGCACCATATCATGAAATGACAGAAGCAGATGATGTGAGTTACTGGATGCCGAACCAGTAGCTGAGTGGTAACATGCTGGTCGTGGGTTTGATCCGTGGGGGTGTTAGTTCTCTCGTGCTTAGTGCTGAGGAGTTACACACTAGGACGAGAGAGCTACCAGGTTCTCCTAGGTTTTCAGTAGTTGTCGGAGTGATGTCAGTTCGTAGTGTATACCAACCTAAAATCAATAAACTGTTCCATTTTTCCATCAATGTCAACATTAATATTACTCGACAAAACAACAAGAAAACGTAATTTGTCTGAACTGTGCAATGAATATATCTGTGCACCACGTTTTGAACAATCTGATCACATACATACTTATCTTAGGGATTTATACATAAGTTTGTAAAGATAAGGCATGATAATATGAAAAGACGTCAAGTAGGTAGGCTGAGTTAAAGACGAAATAACTATGAAAATGAACAGAGCGAACGTAACACTACATCGAACTTGGTTTCAGAGTTGAATCTGAAGAACTTGGAAGTCAGCTTGCATGTATCTGTGGATCATCCCCTGTGTATGTTTTGTTACACGAACACTGAAAGCGGCAGATGCGGTGAGATGTGACAATTACTGTTCATATGCTGTAAGGTTTTGGAAGATTATTCAAGCTCTGTGTTTTTGATCAATCAAATCTTGTCTGCATAGTAATTCCTACAAATGTTGTTATTTCACCTTCATTTAAGCCTTCCTACCTGACTTCTTTTCCTTTTCTCACCTCTTATCTTCATGAAGTTTCATATGAATGGCTATGGCGATTATGTATGTCATAAGATTGTTCAATATGTGTTGTGCAAATACATTACATGGTTCAGATAAATCACGTCTTCTTATTGCTTTGTCAAAGGAACTACTCTGTTCAGGATGAAGTAACTTTGTTGATGTTTGTGATTTCCCGTTATTTTATTGGATCAAACTGTTTAATCGGCTTTTATGCGGACACCTTATGATCGGTTGAATATTCATCATCATGTTTTAATTGGCTCGGTGTCGGTTAGGAGTAGAATTCATAAGGCGTGTTTTGTCCTACTCAGAAGTCGTCTACTGGGGTGCAGGTAGATCCACCTAACAAGTCTTAAATAGGACGAAACCTTCGTCTTGGATTCTACTGGTAGTCACCATTAAGTCAATTCTAATTTACCTTTAGTCCAATCATTTCGAATATTCCCTTCAACCTATTGTATTACAACTGAATCAACGAAAACTATCCAACCAACTATGATGTAATACAAGCAATAACACTTAAACTATACGCGTCGCACAAGAAGTGGCTATCGTTTCTTGGCGGTGTAGTGTATAAGGCTCTGGCGTTTGAAGCGATCGCTCTCATGTCCGATTCCCGGCGGGAACAACATCAGTCACTGGGAAGCAGTCCCGAATAGGAGGAAATGCGAATCCTGGATTTTGCTGCAATTCATCATTAACGAAAACCATCAAACTTTATATCACTAAACTTCAGTCAACACTTCGGCTTGTGTCATGTACTTATGCCTGTTTTCCGATGTTGTATCATGATGTTTGCAATCAAACATGCTGTGTGCCTAATTGACAAGTTTATGACGTTTCACCGACCTCGTGAAAATCGTGTGCTTAAATAACAGATGGAGACGAATCACACTATGTTGTTCACACACGATAGATAGTAATATGAGTGTGTCATCGTTATAAATTATCATTCCATGAGTTCATGGTCAGGATTTGAATGCTCGAGAAAAGTTCTAGGGATGAGAAGTTCAGTTTGTTGTGTTTATGTACTTTAGTTATGATTAGTGTGTGGAAAGTGTCATTTCAGATATACAATCCAAGTCAGTGATTGGATAGTTAAGTCTTCCTTGCTGATGTGAGCGGATTAAGATCCCTTAACTATCCATCTTCTTCTATAGTTCGAAAACCCTTTCTAGTGGATTTTTAACAATTATAATATCAATTTTATGATTATAATAGATGGTATGATAACAACAGTTGCTGATTTGATTTATAAATCCTCCTGTTCCACAGGATTATTTGAAGGTCATTTTGTTCAGCTTTCATTTCCTATATCACGTGGGATGATTCCCTAATATAATAAGCGTTACAGTCGACAAAGCTAAATCTGTAGACACGATTCTGTGTAGAGATAAAAAGAATTGTATCGATTACATGAAATAAAGTATTACTGAGTGTATTCAATGTTTCCTTTAAACCTTTTGTAGCTCTTCAGTTGTACCTTGGCTGAACAGTAGAACTACTGTAACCATTAGCACGTGTTTATATAAATATGATTATATTCAGTTCCATCTACTCAAAACACCAAACTACTTCAAATATAATTTCATTTATGCTTTATATTTTCTATTCGGTGATAACTTTTGTGGACAGATGAATGAGCACGAACATTCTTCAGACTAACTACTTCTCACTGAGGGTTTGTGGAGGTTTATTAATTGATTTTAAATTGAAATTCATCATAGACTGACATCAGTTGAAGGAGCATTTGCAACCTAGAAGCACTGGATAGCTGTTTTGTCCCAATATGGGACTCCTCAATAGTGCGCATCCATGACCTCACCTCACCAGGGATCAACTCCATGACCACCATTATTGACTAGCTTCGAGAGGTTATTTCCTTATTTCCAATAAGAAGTGGTGACCAGCATAGTTAACCAAGTCGAACATAAATACAGTTACTCACCGACGATATTAGATGTAGATCGCACTAAATCATGAACTGACGGAAGAAGAAAACATGTATGATTGGATTTCGATCTACTGGCGTGCTGGCCATGGAACGTGAAAGTCTTGGGTACGCACTAGGACGAAACAGTTGTCCATTGATCTCAGGTTTTTAATGTTCCTCCAAATTATATCAGTCCATGATAAGTTCCAACCTAACCACTTCTCATTTGGGATACTTGATGATGACATTGTATGATTTGATGTATGATGATCTAATGAGGTCACTTATGTCGATTTAATGGGTTTAAAAGCAATCTGATAGAGACCCAAAACTGATAATCTGAACAATACTTGGCATGCCTTTCATGAAATGTTGAATCATTCAGCGGTTATTTATCACTGTTCAACTAATTATTTAGTTATCCAATGAAACGTTAAATTCTTCGTAGTTTTTTTTTAAAAAATCTTTTGTTTTTCCTCTAAAGAATACAACGCATCATTGGATTAAACGAAAGAAACAAGACAATAAGTGTAAACACTGTGGTAAAGTAAGTCTGATGTTATTTATGTCTGATAAAGAAATAAATGCATGTTATATGTATCATCATCATTATCAACATAGGACCAGGCATTAATGCGTAACGGTCCGAGTTGCCACACCTCATATCAGTACATCAAGTAAAAAGGTAGTGAGGTGAAGGATGAAGATAAGTGAATGCAGTCAAAAGAAATATAAAGTACGAAAAGAAAAGAAAGAGGAGTGACAAAATGGTGAGATTCGGTATAGCCTCCTTAAGATGAGGATAATGTGTGTATACATCTGCGCCAGTGACTTCGGTTCTGAGCCATATCATCTAGGGTCTCCAACCACTGGTTCCTCCTGTCCCGTGGACCCCAACCACCTAGTCTGCATCGTCCTACATGGCTTAAACCAACAGTCAAAGACTTCATACATTGGTGCCATGTTTTATGTTATGTTATGTGTATAATATGTACCAAATAGTTACTTTGTATCTACTGAGATAATGCGTATTTTGAATATCTTTTCAACTGAAATCTTCAGTCATTTTGTAGAGAATACTGCTGTTAAAAAGATTTGCCAACTTTGTGTTAAGCCTTGGTTTTCTTGTTTATGTTTTCAAATACTAAGATCTCAGATCACTTTTTGAATGTTATTTCTCTATTTGTAGCTTTCAATTCAATCATTTTTTACCAGTTTATATCATACTATAATATTCTTAAAACGAATGAAAATACATTCCATTTTAAAGATTTGTGAAGATTTACTTATTGATTTCAGGCTTGACATTCATCATGAACTGACATTAGTTAGAGGATCATTGGAACACCCAGGAATACGTGACATTTCTTTCGTCCTTAGTATGAACATTCTCAGTGCTGTAAACCGATGACAACAACTCCCTATGGATCGAACTGACGACTTTCAATTTCAGCGGCAAGCACTTGATCATTGACCCTCTGGGTAGGCATAGAATGTTTCACATATCCGACTTCTATCAGTTCACGATATTCATAAATATCAGCCTTAAAAAAATAAATAAAACCCCACAAACTTCTAAAGGGAATTACTTTAATGCCTTTTAGTGACTCACTTCGAGATGAGATCCCTAAACTTCCGGTGGATCCAACCAAGACAAACGTGGCGACATTTACTCGAAGATGAGGCTTGGTGTATATCATGAACTGACGGGAGTGGGAAATGTGAATCAGTAGATGCCAACTCGGTGACCTGGTCGTAACGTACTAAACCTGAAGATCTTAGGTTGGATACTTGGTGGGGTCATGGCTACTCTTTGCTGAGGAGTCCCATACTAGAACGAAAGAACTTTTCAGTGTTCTCAGTTGACTGATAGTTCTACAACTGACGTCATTCGTTGCTGAATACCAACCTGAGAATTCATTGATTACTGCTTATTGACATACTTGGAATTCTCCGTTCTTTATTGGATCGAATTGTTCGACCTCTATTGGTATATGCGCCCATGAGCAGACGTCTTGATATAGCCTGAATTTTAATTATGATAACTAGCAGAAGAATCCAGGACGGGCGTTTCGTCTTACTTGAGACTCGTCAGTTAGATGTACCTGCACCCCAGTGTGGGGTAATTTTGTTCCCACCGTGACTAGAATCTCGTAACAATCGCTTCAAGCGCCAAGGTGTCATCGACTTTACCACGAAGGAACGATAGCTACTTCTTGTACAAGAACAAGTATGCAAATAAATAGTAATAGCTACTAACCATTGTAGAAGAAGTGGTTGTCGTCCCTCCGCAGCATAGTCGATAACGCCTTGGCGTTTGAAGCGATGGGTAGAAGGTTCCAGTCTCAGTGGGGACAACATCACTCTACACTAAAGTGCAGGTGTATTCAGACGATGGGTCTCAAATAGGATGAAACACGCTTTCTGGATTCTTCTGCTAACCAAAACTAACTAAATTATACTAATGTGAAAATTCAGTTGTTTAAAGTTAACAAGGAACAGCTGAAAACAGTGCTTTATATTCAAATGGCACTGATCCATTCTTTTGTACTGATGGAAACATAAGCAAAGAGTTTAGGGTATGTAAATTTTCTCTCAGAAACTAATCAGACGATCAACCTGTTTCATTAATACCTCTGATTATGTTCTGCTTCAAAAAGATATTAATTAAAGTTCATAGTAGTCATAATAATATTTCATGACAACTCAATTCTTGTCACCAAATTAATCATTCACTGAAATATCCTACCAGAACTGTATACAGTATGTCATATCTTGCCCGATTTTAACCAAAAAAATATCAATGATTGAGTTTTGAGTATTTATCTTCAATAAATCGCAACATGTTGGCTACAGAAGGTGAGGACCGAAAAATAGTGAAAAACTTAATTGATTTCAACTACTTTGACGGAACTTTAAGTTAACGTAGAAAAGACAGAGGTGGAGGTGACGAAGATACCCAACCACCACCAACACCAACAACAAGCTCCAATCAACATCAACGGGAGAAACTTTAAGGAAGTAGCCTCTTTCACCTACCCACCTATCTAGGCAGCATCGTTTCAACTACAGGCGGCATGTGCACAGACGAGCACTCCAAAGACAGCCACGATCGAAAAAACAGCAAGACAGGCCTTCTTTCATTAACCCGAATCCAGTGTGGAGATCTACTGCATTGCACTCAGCATAAAGTGTGAACAACATCCGGATTTTCAATTCCAATCCAGTCAAATCGGTGCTTCTATGTGATAGTTGAGAGACTTGGCGCATTACGAAAGGGATTTCCAACAAACTACAGATATTCATCAACAGCTACTGCCTACGCTGGCTGGTTACTGAAGCTCAGATGACCAGAATAGTAAGAATAAGCAAGGAGGAACTCTGAGAACGAACCAACCAAGAACATATCACTTAACAAATGTGCAGAAGGAAGTCAAGATGGATTGGATTGGACATGCACTGAGAAGACCGACTGAGGACATCACGCATTAGGCCAGGCCATCGAGTGGAAACCAGATGGGAAGCGACGAGTTTGCCGTTGGAGGTGAGGGTGACATGGAGGAGATCGTGTGAGGAAGAAATGAGAACCTTTGGGCACTGGTGGAGCCAGGTTAAAAAGATTGCAGAGAAGGAAGTGGAATGGAGGCGTGCTACTCAAGCCCTATGCTCTACTAGGAACCCAAGGGACAAATAATAGTAATAACAAATGATTCTGAATATAGCCATCAAAAGATGGTGTGTTTGTGTGTGAGTAACTAGAATATTCTTATAGCTATGGTCCAGTTTAGATAAAAGAAGAGATTCCTTTAGCATTCGGTAACTTATATCAAATTATACCAATGGCAAGATATCCAGCTACTTGCTATATTGTTGCGAGACATGACTGGTGAAAGTAGATGATATGATCAGTATGAAATAATAAACAAATAATTAATAATATCGGGTGATGAAAATTTGGACTGCGGCAGGATTCGAAGGATCTACAAAGCCTGACTACTGACTGCATTTTTATTTCACTTCGATCAATAATAAAAATCTGGTTAACAGTTGGGCATGGTAGCTATGTTGGTACAGGACCTGGTCTAGAATCTGGTGGTTCGCTGGTTTGAAACCAACAGCGGTCAAAATTTTCATTATGATTTCAACCGTCAATCCGTATAAATATTTACTTATTCATCAGTAATGTAACTGAGAAGAACAGAAGACGTTTCATCAACTTTTTAAGCTTTTTGTTAACACGAAAAGATTTACGCTAATTTTATTTGCTTTATAAAATGCCACTGAAAGAAATACCAAAGTTGAATATATATTGTAAATTCATTCGATTTCATCAAAGGTTCATACGTGTAGAATTAGTGTTATTGCTTGTATGCGCATCCTAGATTCCACTGCTAGCCGCTGCCCATCATTATTATTCGTGTAGAATGTTTAACTATCACCAAAGCTCAGTTGTGTAAATTTTATCCTAAGTAAGGATTTCTTCAGTCAGTAGGGTTAATGTGTTACTTCATACTCGAGTATTTATGTACAGGTTAGTTAGTAAAGTATTCTCCTGTGTGTGTTGAACCTTAAAACATGTTTACTGAGCGATAAAGTTTGGTCCGACGTTATTATTTATGAACTACTACCTATCTCAAGCTTCTACTTTTACTTTGAAGTCAAGAGGAATGATAGTACTTTGACTTGTAGTTAAGGTTTTCTGAAATAAACAATGTATGCAAGAGTGGGATTTGTTTCGTTTTTATGATAGAGGATATGTTTTCTTTTGCCTGATGTATCTAATAAATGGATTAAAATAGAAAAGATGATTCCTTGAATATGGAATATGTTCATATTTAAGACGAAATATCATTTCTTTAAGTTGTAAGGGTAGTAAATAGGTCTATTTGAGTCCAGCATTTTCGATCTCATTATAGTTATTATTATTTAGACTTGCTGGATCTAATAAGCATGATCATACATAAACAATGTGTAAAACGGTCAGTGGTATATTGTAGTCTGCTTGTTGGTTAGAACTGGAACTCACAATGCACGTTATGTCCTATATGGAACTCATCAGTTGAACGTGCCTGCACCCAATGAGTGATACTATTACCTATTGCACACAATGTGGCTATCGTTCCTCAGTGGCTTACTGGATCACTCTTTAGCATTTAAAGCCACGGCTAAATGGTAAAGTCACAATGGGAACACTTTCACGCACTGGGGTAAAAAAAAACATCCGACTGACGAGTCCGAAATAGGAAGAAACACGTGTTTTGGTTTCCACTGTTAGCTGTCAAGCAAACTACAGCATAATGAGTATTCGGGTAGCAGTGAGACATCTGGATATCAGTTCATCTACTAACAGAAGTCGAACAACAAGGAAGTACAAGTATCTAACAATCGTGAATATCATAGTGAAGTCAATAGGCAATCGCTTCGATTAATACGCCAGTAATAACAAGAAGGCCATTAATGGTTTTCGGTGGATATCTTGTTGATCAAACGGCTCCGTATCCTTACATCTAAAGACTGAAAGTTTTATCGGAAGAGAATTTTTATTTAAAAACAAGATATTCAGCGAAGAGGACTCTTTTCAACGAATGCATATATATATATATATATATATATATATATTATTCGAAGACTAATCCGTGAGGAAGATCTAACATAGATAATGGGGGGTTTGAACAATAATCATGACGGTTATAAGGATAACAGTGTCGCTGGTTGATGATGTAAAGGCCGAATAATAACAAAAAGGGATTACGTAAGACTTCCGAATCATTTATAAAGTGCATATAGATTAAAAAGGGATGAGAACGTTAATAAATAATCAAACGATTAGGTAATATAAATGAGACAAGTTAATTGGAGTAAATTGAAAATGTTTTGTTAAAAGTTGCGATTATTAGGAAGATCAAATGACCAAATAACATCAGAACTAATTGAATATAGAAAACAAAGTGATAATGATGATCTAAGAGTACAAGGATTAATCTGACAAAAAGGGGAAGGGGTGAGAAACGAAGAGAGAAGACGAAGTACATGAAGACTAAAACAAATTAAGGCTAGGTCACAGACAAAGACATTAAATACTTCTTTTGCACACCAAGGTCAGGCTTCAGTTCATGGATAAGCAAGGCGTGTGCTGTTTTTCGAAGCTGAACATGGAGGAAACGTGAGGTGTTAGGACGAATTCGTTAGACAACGTTAAAATCCTTGTTTGGGTCGGTTGAATGGTAGGAATCGATTATATGTTCAAGGATAGAACTTTTGATGCAGTTTCTTTCACTCTTGTAAAACCACACGGGAATATGTTCTCGTATACGTGTTGACACAAATCTCTGACTGCAGCCGATATACTTTGTTCTACCAGAAGTAGGTGAACTCGTAGATACTGAGGTTTATATCATCAATAAATTTTACAAACTAATGATTATGATAATTAAAGTATATCAATATAATTAAATAACATAAAGAATAACAGCAACTTCATAATGACACCATATAACATTTAAACAGTTCAATAGAGTTCAAAATAACAACTACAGATCGTATTCATTCTTACATTATAGAATGAAAAGAAAAAGAATTCTGTGAATGCTTTCAGATGGATTCATTTTATCATATGATATATAGAACAGTCAGAGCGAAGGCCATAAATGAACAGTCAAGAAATATATTCATATTCTTTACGGAATTAAAATTTTGCTTAATTGTTGTCAATCATCTCCTTTTGTTTTTCTTCATAATTTTATACTATCAGTTAGGTATGATTTAATGATTAGAAAATACTGCGCACTGCTGAGGAGTCCCATACTAGGACGAAACAGCTGTCCAGTGCTCCCAGGTTTCCTTTGTTTCTCCAACTGATGTCAGTCTTCGACAAATGACAACTTGAAATAGAAAATACTCATCAATTTTATCTGAATGTAGATTGAATGATGTTATGGCTAGACAACTAATCTATGAATGTTTATAATTGGCTAATATCATGTGACTGTTTTGGTGATTGTATATGTTGATCCCCATTGATAAGGGTCAAAAGAAAGTGATAGGGATAGTTTATACAGAATTTGTTGAATTGGTTTCATTAGTAGAAAAGAATCCGAATAATTAGACTAATTACACGTTAAATTTTATACAGATTGACAGATAATGTTAACAGGAGATTTGCCATTAGCATATTAGCATATCAGAGTGGAAGACATGCTAAAAAACAAGAGGAAGATAATGTGTGGATGTATCTCTACAACAGTGTCTTCAACCAAAGAGTTTACATTGTAAAGGTCAACAATTAGAAACTTGACAAAATGATAACATTTAAGTCTAGCTGCTTTTATTCCTTTCTCAGCTTGAGTCCACTTCAACCAATATTGGATGATGTAACAAAAGCAGTGTCAAGGCTATTTAAATCGACATAGGTTCATAACTTCATCGGCTGACATTCCTCTTCTCCTTAAAACTCTATGCTTGACTTCTGGGTGTGACATCCTGACGCACTGGCGATGCTAAGAAGGTGATTAAATCCTCCTAAATTCTTTACATTATACCTGTTATCTTTTACAGGAATTATTGATGTAACTTTTTATGTCATGCATTTTCTCATTGCTCTCTACCCGAAATATACTACTGAATAGCTTGAGTAGTCTGAGATTAGTTATTGTGATATACTCGTTTCGCTAATTAGTTAATAGTGATCCAAACACTGGTAATGTTTCTCACTGTATTCAATTCATCTATCTTAAGCGTACTACGCTGATCACACTATTCGAAATTTCTTGAATATTTTATTTTATCCGCTTATTTACTAAAAAAACCAATCCTTATATATGTAACGTTACAGTTAATCTTTTATGCTGTAAAGAATAAAGGTTTATTCTTCTCTATCTAAATGTGCATATGTTTTTATGAAGTAAAAAAAATGTAATTCCTTTGAAGGTATCCTAACCAGTGATGGATAGTGGCTAGTAGTGCAATCCAGGATGCATATTTGGGATTCGTCTGTTAGATGCACCTGATGTTGCTGTCATCGGAATTCAGACTCAGGAGCGATCGCTTCAAACATCAGAGCGTTATCTTCTATACAACCGAACCATGATAGCCACCTCTTGTCAGACGGGTATAGTTTTTAGTATTATCGCTTGCATTATACCGAATTCATCGGTGTCTTTTGACATTTGGACACCTGTGTGTATGTCTTGACATTACCTGTGTTATAACAATAGTAATGATGGATAGTAATCAACTGGATGGTTTGAAAAAACTTGGGCACCGAGTTGGTATGGTTCATCGTCAAAGGTGTAGTTTTAATCACGTACTCCCAGCGTATTATATTTGAACAAATAACAAAGTAAACAAATACTTTTTGTATTATTCCTCAGCCTTTTGATCTTGTTAGGAAGATCCTTTTGCACAACGTATGAATCTGATATTAAGTTTGGGTACAAAAGTTGGTGACCTTTACGATCATCCAATTACATTGTAAAGTGGAGCTAAGATCAATTTAATACCAGTGAGTAGATCAGAGAGGCTTTTCTCCAGTTGTGCGAGTAAGATGGAATAAAAATAGGATGGGGAATGTAGTTCGTTTATGAAAACTACAATGGGGTTGTGAATCATCCAGGGTGATAAAGAATAGATTACTAGTTTGGAAAGATGAATATTTGAACATGAAACAATAAAAAATAAATAAATAAATAAAATGGCAACAAAAAAGGTAGTTTTGGTAACAGCTGAAGTATGACTGATAACAAAATAGATTGTGTAATATACAGGACGGTTCATATAATGTATATAACTCAGAAAGGGGCGTAAAACTGGTGAAAACAGTAGACCAATAAAGTGTTATGTAATCCCTTGTCTATAATCTTCATTTTCCTCCTTGTCCTTATCTTTTTTTTACTTGAAATTTTTAGTCTCTACAATCCATACTGGGATTCTCCACAAAAGTGAGTAACCTTATTATTATTATTGTTATTATTATTATTTGCCTGTTGAGTACCTAACGGAACATACGGATTCAGTAGCACGTCTCCACTACACCCTGTTCTCGTTAATCTTTTCAACCTGGCACCACGACTGCTCACAACCTCTGATTTCTTCCTCACACCATCTCCTCAATGTCACCCTCGCCTTGGACGCCAAATTCGTCGTTTTTCATCCCATCCAACTCCACTTCCTCCTGAATATTTGTTAAGTGATATGTTCTTGGTTGGTTCGTTCTCAAAGTTCCTCCTTGCTTATTCTTACTATTCTGGTCATCTGAGCTTCAGGTACCAGCCAGCATAGGCAGCAACTGTTGATGAATATCTGTAGTTTGTTGGAAATCCCTTTCGTAATGCGCCAAGTGTCTCAATATATCAGATAGAAGCACCGACTTGACTGGATTGGTGTTGAAAATCCGGATGTTGTTCACACTTTATGCTGAGTGCAATGCAGTAGATCTCCACATTGGTTTCGGGTTAATGAAAGAAGGCTTGTCTTGCTGTTTTTTCGATCGTGGCTGTCTTCGAAGTGCTCGTCTGTGCACATGCCGCCTGTAGTTGAAACGATGCTGCCTAGATAGGTGGGTAGGCGAAGGGGCTACTTCCTTTAAGTTTCTCCCGTTGATGTTGATTGGAGCTTGTTGTTGGTGGTGGTGATGGCTTTCGTTGGGTATCTTCATCACCTCTGTCTTTTCTGTGTCCACTTGAAGTCACGTCTTCGCTGCCCTACCATGACTCTTCTGTCAACTTGTTAGTTTTTGCCTGTGGACATTAGACACAAGTCGTTGGCGAAATTTAAATCTTCTAGTATCTTTTCCCGGTCCAGCCAGCGTATGCCCGTTTTCTTGCTCTTCACTGTTTGCTGCATGATTTAGTTGACCACGATCAGGAAGATAATCATGAAAGTAGACAGCCTTATCTTTCTCCTATCTTCACTTCGAAGGCATCACTGAGTTTCCCATTTTGAATTACTTGGCATGTGGCGTCTTGATATTGTTGTTGAATGAGGTTGATAAAAATTTGTGGCAATAAAACCGTCGTGTTGACGCAGCTACTGGCCAAATTACTTCTTAGTCGACTCTATCTATAAACTATTTTGTTTCACAGATATTTTTTACGATATTTCTATGAGTAAATATAAACTTCTAGACATACTTGTGTATAGTGAAGATATTTCTACTAATTATGAATACGTATACCGTATATACATATGCGTCTATTTTATTACAAGACTACTTAGAGTGGAATTTGATTTATTTTTCACTTACTGTGGAAAATCTTAATCAAATATTTATATACTGACATATTATTTTAGATAATTTATCCCTTTATTTTTACTCAAAGGCCATAATTGATTCAGTAGCAACAAACTCTAACCCTAAACTTAGCTGTTATTATGCATGAACAAAACTGATATGGTACAGTTCCGTTTTAGTTGACTGATCATTTGATTAGATGTGTCACTCAGTTAAACAGTAATATTTACTGAATAATGTCTTGGATACAACTTTGAGATATGATTCACACACCTCAAGCTTCTCTGACTCTTTCGGATATGAATAGTAGTCATATAGACATTAATAACTTAAAAACAGCAATGTTTTGATGGCGTCTCAAAGATATCATGTGGGACTCTTATAAAGGATAAGAAATAAAGTGACAGGCTTCATAGAATAGAAGATCCAACTAATCAAGTTATACCATTTAACTTAATTCATTGAATCATTTGCAAAGGTTGTAACCTCAAGTGCAGGTGAAAGTAGTCTATCAGAGTCAGTAAGTCAGTTTGAACACAAACCATAGTTCACAATCGAATGATAGGACGCCGCACAGTGAAACTCTTTGCAACTAATATAATTAGGTAAAGGTGAAACCTGATAACCTAATCTTTGTTTATCAAATCAATAACAAAACAATCTGCAGAAACGATTCCGTATCTGTTCCAGACAAATGGAAAATCCTACTACCTATATCATAAAAAAGGATGATAGGATTAGAGCCACAGAACCTTATACAGTAAATAATACTGTTCCTTCACTGTGTGATGAATTTATTGAATCAAGAAACCAGGAGATCAACTCATCTGTTCACTTTAAGGTGAAGATATTCACAATAATGCTATGCAGCAGACTTCTCAAATACTTCATCTAACAGTGAATTTACCTCCTTGACAATGCTGCATACCTTAACATGAACAGTCTGAAAACACATTGCCATTAGTACGCAGTTTTTTCGAATGTTTATTCCTTTGCACAACAATATCTAATTCTGATGGTATAAATCTATATTGCTGTGGCTGATAACACTTGAATAGATATTCATTTGGATTACATGGTTATGTGGAAACTTACAGATTCTTGACGTCGTCAGTGCGGGTTCTTCTGGTACCCGAAGCTCTAATCATAAGAATTTATGGTAAGATAAATGTTTCTTTAGCGTAACGGGGTATCGCGAAGACGAATTAAACATGTCGACTGCTTGCAATGGAAGTTTGGAATTTTGCGCCACTTAGGTGTCAGCAATGGTGAATAGGAAATTGTGACTGAAAACAACTTAAAGTTTAACATTCTGCATATGATGAATAGTGGTATTTTCTTGTTCCTTTCATAACTTGTGTAACCGAACTTAATAACCTCACTTCCGTGCCATTCAAGTCCCGTAAAATCTTGTAGATTTTCCAATATATATCAATGTGATGATGCCTGTAAACTGGCTTCTTTCATGTTGAATAATTTACATGAGAATAAAATGTTGATGTTTTTTTTTGAGAGAAAGGGGGATTTAAATTTAGAAGTAGTATTCATCGTGGACTAACACTGAAAATCTGGGAGCACTGGACACCTGTTTCGTCCTAGTATGGGACTCGTCAGCAGTATGCACCCACAACCCAGCTAGGGATCGAACTCAAGACCTTCAGGTTTCACGACAAACGCGTTGACCATTGAGCCACTGAGTTGGTTATCAGTGGTTGCGCACAGCTGAGGAGTCCCATACTAGGACGAAACAGATGTGCAGTGCCCCCAGATTTTCAATATTTAATTATTTAATAAAATACTTATTTATTTAATGAAATGAAATTCCATTATGTGATATTTCTCAAGTTTTACTTTTATATTACCAAGGCAATGTATTTTCAATCAGAAAATGTTAGGAATCTGTTAAATTTCCGTAAATTTAGCAACGGTCGAGAAAGCCAGTGTTAAATACTATTGTTCTCTGATTTATCATGTTTGAAGACAAATCATTTCATCAAAAACTTAACTAAATGTTTCTTCGCTTGGAAACAAAATATTAAGTTGAATTCTTTGAATGAGAATGCATTATCAGTTTGCTTAAACATTAGGGTAACAAACATTTTTCATCGAATATATTTCATCATATTCCTGCCTTTTAATTTGTTTGAATTTTCCAAGTATGTCATTAAAGTGTACCACATACTCTGGCAGATTTTTAAATATTTTCCAACTATCGTTTTTCAAGCTAACAACTAATAAACGGTTAGAAATGAACCAAAATACAACAAATTGCTTATCTTAGGATACCTATGTTGAACTGTACATGTTTGTACTGGCTGGTTAATAACTACCATCGCCAAACTTCACCGTCGATTTTCTATTCATTCACTCATCCACACCAGTTACTAGTGTGGCAACATCTGGTCACTTCACAGTACCGTCTTTAATACTTTCGTTATTAACAAGTATTTAGATGAAACAGTTATTTCATTGAAATATATTGTACAGGTAAGGATTGGGTTCCTAGTGGAACATAGGAATTCAGTAGAATGTCATCACATCACTCTGTCCTCTGCAGTCTTTTCAACCTGGTGACACCACTCCTACATGTCAACCTCCCCTTGAACACCCAACTCGTGGTCTCCCCCCTTTCGGATTTCAATCGGTGGCCTGGTTTGACCCATGATGTCCCCAATGGGTCTTCTCAGTGCATGTCCAATACAATACAATCCATCTCCACTTTTTCTTCTGCTGCTGCATATTTGTTGGGCCATAGGTTCTTAGTTAGTTGCTTCGTTGCCAGTCAGCCAGTCAGAGTTCCTTGCTGTTGATTCTTTATGGCCATCTGGTCCTCATCTTCAGTATGGGGTGAGCGTAAGCGGCAGCTGTTGATGATGTATGCCTGCAGTTTGTTGAAATTACTTTTCGTGGCGCACCAAGTCTTTCAACCATCACATAGAAGCACTGACTCGGCTGAATTAGTGTTGAAAATCCGTATCTTGTTCATGCTTTATGCTAAGTACAGTAGATCTTCACACTGGTTTCAGGATAATGAACGACTGTATTGCTTAGACATCTGGAAAAATAATGTTCTTTGACTAAAGCAATTATTTTGAATAACTTCTTCTTTATGACAGCGATTCAGGAAAACTGGAAAATTTTAAAGATTCAAACATTTTCTTTCTACTGTGTTGACTGAAACAAAATCAGAACTAGATATACGACTTGATTATGCTTCACTTTTTAACCAAGTAAGTGCTGATAAAATCAACTAATTTGATAATGAAACGTTGGAGGACACCAAGAAATTATCAATCACAACATCAGCTGGAGGAACAAAGGAAACCTGGGAGCACTGGACAGCTGTTCCGTCCTAGTATGGGACTCCTCAGCAGTGCGCACCCACGACCCAACACCAGCAGGGATCGAACCCGCGATCTTCGATGAATAACAATTTGAAATATTTCCAAATCTCCACAACTCCCTCAAAATTTAATTGAACTGGTGCTCATTGGTAACTAGTTTCGAGAAGTATTCTCGAAGTTCCAATGACAAGTCGTGACCGGTAGAGTCAAAGCCTGATGGCCATGAGGGCAGATACTCAAAGATGACATTGGGTGGCGGTTTGCGCTATATCGTGAGCTAACAGAAGTTGGAAATATGGAGCATTGGATTCTGACCGAGTGGCGAGCTCAGTGGTAACGCTCTGGCCGCGGAGCCTGAAGGTCG